ACGTTTAAATTGGAAGTTGCGCTAATTTCTGCCCACCCTGTATAAAGCTTACAAATAACAGGTACGCAAACAGTTGCGTTTCAGACGCGTGGAAAGTTCATCAAGTTCAAATTCCCGCGTCAGGTTTAGCGAGTTTAAGCTACTTTCAGCTCCTAATTGCGGTCTCCCCTTCGACCTGGCTTTGATGCCCTCCATCCCGTGCCCCTATATATCAGCCCGCCGACCCTTTCGAGTGGCGTGCGGACTGGTTATGGACTGGTTAGTCGATGCACCGCTGCCGCCAGTGGACTCTTCGGCGCCTCACGCTACCCTCGTTCCAGACTCTGTGGCGCCCATTTTCATCCCTTTCTCTCCTCCATCTTCCTTCTTTATCCCCCTCCTCCACCCTCCTTTCGCATTAAAAACGGGTGGCGCGCGTCCACGAAACGCGAGACCTTGTCGAATAATTGATACGCGCCCTTATACAACCGATAAAATCGATTTCCTCTTCGGGATTCAATTCCGCCTATCGAGAATTCGAACCATCGTACGTCGACGAAGAGAAAAAAAAGAAAAAAAGACCAGATCGTTACGATACACGACAAATTGGTTCATTTTTAACGTGGAAGATACGGTTGATAAATTCATACCCGCCACGGAATATCGCCGCGTTACGCGGAAATTACCCCCACGATCCGTTATTTTATCATTCGTGTCTCTTCTATAGAGCGATCGACTGATCCAACCCCCTTGTCCCACCCCCTAATGGTTGGACGAAGATAGGAAACGTAGGTCTTTTCGAGCTCGTGTCACGACACGGTCTGGTCACGCACGCTTGCTTGTTTGCTTGCCCGCTCGTTGAAAACATCACGGTGCTGGTAAAAATAAATCTTGCTGTAAGGAGAAACGGTCCATGGTCGCGTATATTTCTTCCCGATTTTTAAAACGGGTGGAATGGTCGAAGGGGAGGGGGTGGGTTCGGAGCAAATTTGTTGACGAGATATGGCGAAACTATTTTTTCTTCTTTTTTTTTTTTTTTTT